TACTCAGCTATAAAAAATGAGAAACTTAGAAGAGGCATTTATGGCTAAATGGATACACATTGAGGCTATACTCTGAAAAGAAACAAATAGGACACACGAGTAAATACTGAATAGTTTCTCTGGTGTGAAACACTAGAAGGGTAAATAAGCTTCAAATGGTATAATTGGTAGTGTGAAATAGGAAGAAAAGGGCTAAGAGTGTAGAGGAAATGGGAAGGGGAGGGGAAAGGAAAGAAGGGAATGGAATTAACACGAGAAAATGAAAAAAATGGAACAAAGTCTTTGTAAATAGGGAAATGTGAAGCGGGTGAAGGGAGGTCAGGGGTATGGGGAAAAAATAAGAACCAAGACACATCATGTAAAGGTAAAAGACCCAATGATAAATGTAACTGTATTGTTTGCTTTAAATGTACAAATAAACTTAATGGGGGGGAAAAGTCACCCAAATGAACTTTCTGAAATGAATAGACACTGTCCTTTCTGTCATCAATTTATGGTCCACAAAGAAGGCCAGTTTATATTGAAAATATCCTTGGTGAAGTAGAAACAATTATTAATTTTACTAAATCTTGATCCTTTCACATACTTCTGTTTAAATGATATGTGTGAAAAAAGATAGGAAGTTCCCATAAGGCATTTCACCTGTGTATGGAAAGGCCGTGGTTGCCTTGTGGAAGAATTCCAGGTGACCGAGTGGTGTGCTAGACTAGGTTTTCTCTTTCGTAGATGCCTTTTTTTTTTCTTTTGTACCGGGGATTGAACTCGGGTCCTTGAGCTTGCAAGGCAGGCAGCGGAACTGCTCAGCTAAATTCCGTACCCCATAGATGCCTATTTTTACTTGAACGAGCGACTATTTCTCAAAAATGAATGATACTGGGCTGTCCAAGTTGAACAACTGATGGTATTCATTGCCAATGATAAAACTGGCAATAGATCAAGTGAAAATTAGATTTTTAGAAAACTTGTATCTGGTACTGTGAGCTTGATGGCTTCTCAATATTTGAAGGCTATTCTGGTAAAATTGGTGATATTAACTGATGGGATTTTTAGTCTGTATAATGAAATATGTCAACATTTGGAAGATCTTCATAACACAGTGAATCAATATTTTCTAAATAAACAATTCATGATGTTACAGAATTATGCCTAGAGGGAATATTCATTCAAATTGCAAGATAGACCAATAGATTTTAATGTCACTGAAAAATGCAATGATATGTATTCAGATTATTCATTAAAACTAACCTTAAAAAAACTATCATTTGTTAGGTGCTGCTATGGTATCAAGAAGAATATCCGCAATCACATAAAAGGATTTTACTTCTCCCCTTTCCAGCTATTTATCTGTGTGAGACTAGATTTTTTCATTTACTTGAGCTGAAACAGCATATTGCAGATATTGCACTCAGAAACAAATACAGAATCTGGTTTTGTTCAATTAAGGCAGATATTAAAATCAATTTAAAAAAATGTAAAACAGTGCCTTCTTTCTTTCTTTGTTTTTTGGAAAATACAGTTTTCATAAAATACTTTGATATGTAATGGAATTATTTTAATAATTCAATAAGTAATATTGGAATATTTGTCAGTCTTATGGTAAATGTTAATGGTGATAATCCATATAAATAAAACCTTCAGTAATTTTTAGGAAATTGAGACTATCATAGCTGGCTGTTAGGTGTACAAGACACCTCAGTGGCTAACGCATTTCTTATACCCTGCTCTTTGTGGTGGTAGACGTCCAAATTTTCAGAAAACTGTGACCGCTTTACATGGCAGGCAGCAAATAGATTGGTTAATTTGACAAACATGTCAGCCAAATTAAACATCATTATAGTCCACATTGTCAGAGGTCAAAGTAGATGGCTCACTATTTTAACATATTAGTTTAAATGGATAGAGCCTTTGTCTTGCTGATCATTGACTAAATACAGAAAAACAAATGGGCATAGGGAATAATGCTAGAAATTCTTAACATGTAGTTGAGAAAGAAGAAATTAAAATGTTTCAATCATTCTTGTAATTCAACTTCAGAATTCATTTTTGGAAGTTGTCTTGATTGTACAATGCATGCCAACCGACAAAGTGACATTTGGTTAAGAAAAAAACGAAGGTTGGTAGTTTTAGACACAATAATTTAGATTGGATTAAGTCTTTTATGAGACTTTAGTTTTAGAAAGTTTTGTAGGGCACTTCAGGAATTCCTTTCCCACCACCAGTGAATGTAATAATCTCTCCCTTTGAGGGCATATGAGTATGTACATAATAACATACCTATGATCATAAAATAGCTAAAAGATGGCAGTAGTTTTCTTCATGACATATGCCCACCAGGCTCATTTAATTCCTATTTTGTTTTTGTTTTGCTTTTTTTTGTGTGTGGTACCAGGATCAAACTCAGGACCTTGAGCTGGCGCAGTGCCACGGAGTTAAATTCCCAACCCCTGTCTTATCTTTTATAAATCTGTCTGCTTTATACTTAGAACCATTCAGTTTTCTTCTTGACCGTTCTCTGATTTTTGTAGGTGTAAGGTAAGTCCCTTGGAATGGCTGCCACCGTTCTGATAAGTAACTTCCTTCTTCATCTTAAAGTTTCCTTAACGTGCAGCCTACACGATCCCCGACCTGCCTGCACCAGTCACCCACTGTATAACCAAGCCATTTCTCCAGCTTCCTTCTCTCTTGTTCCCTTTCCACTGAGCTGCACAAAGCGGCTCTATGATAAAATCTCTCCTGGGAGCTCTGTCGGTGTGCAGAGTGATCTTTGGCAGGCGCCAGTTTCTTTCAGTAGGTGAAAGATGTATGTGTAACAAGTGCTGGTTTTTTAGGGAAAGGATTGTACTTATTTTACATCATCTACCATGTTCAGTTGGCAGGTAGACTTTGATAACTTGCTGTTCAGGTTAAGGACTGAGACGCAGAAAATTCATTTTCTGTCTCCAAGTATTGGTTGAGGATTCACTATGCATCAAGTGCCATGTTAGGCACCAGTAAATATGCACTGGTGCATCTTGCCTTTAGACTGAAGAAATAAATGACAAGAATATAAGATATGGAGTCTTGTTTTGGGAGAATTGTTCCCATGGCTGTAGAAATGTTATGAAAGAAACTACCTTTTGTTGAAAATCTTACCGGTTTTTGTAAACAGATTAGGGAAGGGAAGAGTTTCATTGATGGAAATGCGGGCTTTTCCTTCTTGCTGCACGATTTGCTAGTCAAAATGATGATCTTAAATAGCTGTGAAAGCGGAATTGATTTTGGTTTCACACCTGAGCCAGTATTTACACTGGCAGCCAGTGGGTCTGGTAGATACTGGTTTTCACACGAGAGGCCCAGCCTCTTCTTTCTTGCTTTGCAGTTAGCAAGTTAGCAGGCCCTTGCCAGCCTTGGATCAGCTCTAGGCTATAACACGAGGGAGCTCAGTGCAGGAGTTTGACTTTGATTGCATACATGGATCATTAGAAAGCTAGTCTCTTTGCCTACCTTCTTGGCTTTAAATACTGTACTTCTATGAGTAAAGAAATCTTTGGAAGGTGCACTGTGGCTGCGTGACTATGCTAATTTGCTGCAGTAGTGATATTTCTTCACCCAGAGTTTGGATGTATAATCTGATCACATTGGAGTAAAATATGTTATGGAAGTGCTTATTTAAAAGAAGTTCATGATGTGCTGAGATACAGACTGCCTTGCCCTGCCCTTTCTAGCTGTGGGATCCAGTGAGGTTACTGTCAGTGCTTAGAGCTCAGTACCTGAGACACAGGAAATAATAGAGCTGGTGGGAGGGTTCATTGTGCTAATGCATATAAAACGTTGGACATGAGAATGTTGGCTATTATTATTTTTTATTTCTGCTAATTAATGAGATCACATTCTAAGGTTTCAGTAAATGGTCAGAACAGAACTACCTTCTTCACCATCTTCCCAATACATTTTCCATTTCTAGATTGTCTATATTGCCGGTCTTAACAGTTCTGCAGTTATGTTTTTTCCCCCTGAGGGTGATAGCAACAGTGGGGTGAGATGCATTTCAAATAAGTTTCAGTCTTTGAATATCAATACCTGCTCAGTTATCTTCCTGTATATGCTGCCTTTGGCAACTGCCGAGACATGCCTATTGCTAATTAATCACTTCCACTGAGAACTTAATTAGTGGCTTAATTAGGATCATCCTTGAGTAGCAGGCAGCAGCATCCTGAGCCAGCTGCAAGTTATTGGCCAGCTCTGGCCAGCCCTTCTGGTTCTGTGGAAACAAGACTGAGGGGAAATCTGTTGTGCTTCTATTTGGTTTGTTTGACCTCCTTAAAGAAGGATGTGGAAGATCACCAGAGTCTGCGATGCATTCATAAACTATCACACCATGTGACAATAAGGGAGCACCTCCACTTCTAATGAATGGATCAGAAAACCAAGGTTGGGTTATTGAATTCTCGTGATTGTGGCAAACAAGCAGGAAACATGTTGTTGTTTGCAAGTGATGAAAACGAGACCATGCATTCTGAATATGACAGAGTATTTCATTTTGCTACTGAGAGGTAAAGTACTTTCCTTCTGGCATCATTGTTTTGTAATATATATGTTTTTGAAATATTGCTATATCATTACAGGATGAAGCCAGCACTCCATTTTCTTTCTCTCCCCATCTCCCTGCAGGAAAATTTGAGAAAATGAAGCAAAAGAAGTATCTTCCTGCCTTGTTTTCCTTTAGAAATGGAAGTTGTATTAGGAGTGTAAGGCACAATCAAATTACTCTTAAAACATCAATTGTCTGAAACTTTCTAGATGGACTATAACTGCAACAATAAGATAAAATAAAGGCATTAATGGCTTCTGTTTTATAGGAAGGAGAACCCCTTGAATTGGTTTCCCAAATGAATTGGGAAGTACGCCTACTTTCAAAGAACATATTATCCTTATTCTTTTGACTGTGGCAGGCTTTTAGATAACTTAGGTAAATTGTAAACTTGGCAAAAGGATCAGTTGAAATATTTTGCATCCAACAGATTTGCTGCTGCTTCCAGGAGAAGTGGAAGAGGACATAAGCAGCTGTGTTCCTTCTTACATTCCTTCTGCATACCAGTCATGTACCACGGAAGAGAAGCTGAAGCCCACTATGAAAGGAAAAGAACAAAAGGAGGAGGTAGTCAGTCTGAACACAGTGCCTAGACTGTGTAATTTGTCCCTGCAAAGAAGTGCCACTATACCTGTTTGCTTGTGTGTTTTTCTTGGATTTGGGAGGATTTAGGATTGAGATGGCTTAATTGGTCCCTCTCACTTCCATCCGTCTATCCCCAGAGAGCATATTTAGTTTAAATACATTGAGAGATTATGTTTATATGTGGAAACTATTGTTTATGGTGTATGCTGTGCTACCTAGAGACTGTAGAAGAGAAAGAACAGGCAGTTTTCTTATTTTAGTCTGAACTGGCCACCTTTCTTATCATTTCTTAGGTCCTGTGCACCTTTTGTATTGGTCAAGGTCAGGCTAGACTTGTATAGCAGAGAAACCCAGTAAAAATTCAAGTGCAGAAAGGAAGGAGAAATTTCATTTGACAGTCTGTAGAGAGCTCTTAAAATGGGCAAGAGTCTATTCCCTGGAGTCAACAGGGACCAAAGGTTCCATCTCTCTGAATGTCCACTACCTCTGGGACATTGTCTTCATTTGTATGTTCCAAGTCCAGTCACCATCATACCTTGAAGGGGATGGGATGGGAGCATGGGGAAAGCATGTCACCACAAGATTTAGGATGTTCATTGCTGTTCACATTCCACTGGCAACCATTTAGTCACATGTGTATTCTTAGCCACAAGGTAAGCTGGGAAATGTTGCCTAACTGTGGGCTTTAAAAGCAAGGAAGAATGTAATCTCTGATACAACTTTACTTTCCCAAATGTATAACTCGAAAGTCATCTTTTGCTGTCATTTTGCAACTCTTGTAGGTGTACTTAACAAACACACAGGCTGCTGGTGGGAAGTGACCTTTCTACCCGCTTAACCAAAATGTAGAGGAGATCAGACACTGGAAGTTGTAGAGGACTCTTTAATAATGCTTTCTAATAAAAATTCCTAGAGTCTTTCTTGATTAATCATTCAGGTGCTAGTTTTCTTACTGGAAGATATTCTGACATAGAATATCAGAAATAATTCACACATTTCAATATTAAATTGCTGATTTCCTTATGGTCCTTTTATTCACTGGTGTCACAAAATATATCCAGGGTGCTTGCAGACTTTTATTAAACTCACAAATTGGGAGAACACAAATTTGTCAAGACAACACTTTTCGATGTGCTTTTGAATTATAGATTGCTTTTTCTGACTTGTAAGAAGCTAAAATTGCAAGATTATTTCTAGCAGAAATCATTTTCATTTTGAGAATTGTTTATGTTCTTCACATCAGTTGTGACCATACAAGTGAACATGGTACCAATACCATTATAGAAAAAAATATATATTCTAGGACAATTATACACATTGTTGTAAAGTAGTTTCAGTTAATGAGTAAAAAATTTAAAAAGCTGAATGATTTTTGGAATCTCTCCAACAGCCAGTGAAATAAAAGTGAAAACTGTATGTATGATTATATTTTTAAAAGAAATACAGACTTTTTTAATTTCACAGAAAATGTGAACATTTTTCATGTTGGGAAAAATAACATACACTTTTTGTGTTGGCAAACTCATGAGCCATCAGTGAATATCTTTTTCTGTCTTTTGAATATTCAGATTAATGTTTTGTTTGCAAGTTTGGTTTCTAACCATTATTTGTTAGAGAAACTTTCCAGATCTCTGTAGAATCATTGTAATGCACTAACTCTGCCTTGGTTATTAGCATTAATTTTATTTTAAAGCACATAATGTCAGTAAAAGAATACAATCATCAGTTTCCAGCACATATCTTGTAAGGGGAGCAGAGGCCTTTTTAGGGCCTGGATGGCAATTGCTTTCTGGGGCTTCAGTCTTAAAAGATAAAACTGTGTTCTGGTTGCCCTGACTTACTCTTAATTGCCTATTATGATCCCATCAGCTCTCTACTATAGATTGGACCTACTTGATAGTCCCCCTAATTTTATTACTGGTTTTATTTATGTACATTTCCCCCTTACTGTTAAATATTTCCCAAGAACCTTCTACTTCCTATTTGTAAATAATATCTTGCCTCATTTACTCTATTTTGATAATTTTTGGAAATTTGAAACAGTTATATAGAGCAAAAAGAGTTCACATCAGAAAGTTGAGAAATTGTCTCTCCCCTCCAAAAAAATAGAAGTCTTATTTGAAATTTGAGTCATATTTTAATAGGAGATCTTCTGTTTTTCCCATTCATAATGGGACTCTAAAATTTTCCACCTATAAAGGCAGTTTATTTACCATGCTACTTTGTATGCTAGCCTGCAGCTAAATGCTGCCATTATTGATTTGAACATTAGTTCTGTTTTCTTTAATTTGGCTGTGTGGTGCTATGAATGAAAATGATTCTTCCTTTAGCAGTGTCTCTGTTAGAATAAGTCACATGAACAATTTGAAGGGAACTCAAAGTTTTCTAATAGTGTACAAACTCTGTTCCCTAAGAACCCACGAAAAGATTTCAATTAGGCTTGAAATTAGACACCTGAAATCCACATATTTCTCTCAGCTCCTTAGGCAAAAACAAGTTAATAACTTAATTCACAGTTGTTTTTCTGTTTAGTAGCAGGGGATTTGCTGTTCTGTTGCACAAACTCTTCTCTGAAACAAATCAGAACTTCAGTTTGTAGTCTAAAACTTACAGCTTTGAACCCAGAAGTGAACCTAACTTGAAAGAAGAGATTCACAAAGTTTGCCGTAACAGCCAGCAGCTGAAATGTAGAATAGAAATGCAGCCTTGCTGTGTTTTAAAAGCTGTCATTTGGAAGGTCACAGTGATGTTTTCTGAATTGCAGTGAGCACCTAGTCTCAGTTTGAATTTTGTATGCGTCTCTTGTCTTGGAAGAGCCGAAAGTCGCTCATGCATGTCTTCATAAGCTTACTTAATGTAGAAAGTCAGAATGAGGGCTGGGTTCAGTGTCATATATACAGTAGACATGCAATAAATATTTATTGAATGAAAAAATATGCAAAAGCTCCCATCACTTACTGGGAGTGATTTTCTGATATAATAACATGGTTTGGGTCATTCTTTTCTTCTCTCTTGGTTCATTCCCCACAACATGTAAACGTGTCCAGGCCTATCTCATCCTTAACAAAATGAAACAAAACAAGGGAAAACCACCTTCCCGTCACCTTGGACTTGTATTTGGCAACTGTCTGTTCTTTTCCCATTTTCACGCAGACTTCAGAAGCCATTTGATTCTATTAGTTGATTTCGTTTGTCCCTCGATCCCAGTTTCAATGTATTGCAAAATGTCCTTGGCACAATTGCTGGCCTGGATATGTTCAGAATGAAGGCACTGGTTACTTGACAATGGCCTCATCTTGTGGGTACCTTTCAGCTTGTATTTTATTTTATTTATTTTATTTTGGTACCAGGGATTGAACTTGGGACCTTGAGCTTGCCAATCAGACGGCAGAACCACTGAGCTAAATCCCTGGCCCTCAGCTTATATTTTAATGGGTCTCTGTCCTGACACCCCTGATCTTCTTCCACGGACACTCTTGCTTCACACTTGCTTTACTGTTCTCTGATTCTTTTTGCACTTCTCCGATTGTTCTTCCCTGCATCCTTGGGAATTCCTACCCCCATCCACCCCTGGTGGATTGGTGTTCCCCAGGGTTCCATGCTTACCCTATGCTCTTCTCACCCTACATACATGATCCGTTTTTGTCTTTAAATCACTACCTAATCCATACCTATTTCAGATTTGTATATTCAGATTTGTATATTCAGTTGCTTATTAACCTCCACATTTGGATTCTTTCAGATACTTTTGAACTCAATCCGCTAAAAATTAAGCTCATCTTTGCCTCCTGCTTCCTTTGCTGCCTTCTTGCTCCTCTGCCATCTCTACGCCCAAATTTTACTTTCTAAATAATTTTGAAATCTTTGCCCTGTTCTCGTTGTCTTTTGCCTGGACTGCTTCAGAAGCATCCTGGCCAGTTTCCTGATTGCTGACTTATCCTTCTCCAGTCTACCATCAATTTACCCTTTAAAGTGAGCTATTAAGACATAAGTCATCTCCACGAGGTCAAGGGCCTCTTTCTGTTCTGTAGTCCAACACCAGTTTTATTGCAAGCATTCAGTACAAATTTGAATTTGAAGGAATTTATCCAAAATGAGGGATACCCCAATGAAGGAACGTATCCAAAATGCATAGATGACCGTGTCTGCCCTGCAAAAACTCTGCAGGGACTTTTCATGATCTCTAGGGTGATTTGACATCATCTTCACATTGGCCCCTCTTTATCCTGTCTCAATCCCGAGCTTCTTTCAGACTCACAACTTTGAAGTTCTGCATCTTACTCCCAGGCCCGCTCATGTGCATTCCCACTATCTCCTGAGCCGTTCTGCTCTCCCCCTGGTTAACTATTACACCTTTTAAGATCCTGCTTAGGTATGGCCTCTTCCAACCTTCTCTGGTTCCTTGCTAGATCTTCACCTGGTCTGGGTTAAGCAGCCCTTCTTTGTTCTCACAACTCCTTCACCATTCACATATGATTTGTTCATGTGTTTATGCCATTAGTCTGTGATCTCATGCCGCTATTCATCTTTGTTGCATCTCTACCTCTCTACGCTATACCTAGACTTTAACAGAAACACAGAGTTTGTGAAGAGGAAGAAAAATATTTGAATGATTGCAGGAGACTGACCATTCCTTTGAAAAATGAGATTATCACAAGTTTTAGTTTCTTGTTTTTCTACTTTAGCATTTCATTGGTTGCCTAGGAAAGTAACCTAGCAATAGGTGCTGTGCTTAATAACTCTTAGTTTCTAAGTAAAGAAATATATATCTTTATTTTTAAAACCTTAAGAATCCTTGTTTAGCTATATTTATTAACTTCCTAAAAACCTTGTTCCTTGCTATTCTTTTGGTTAATACACAGTGACTGAAGATAATCCTGTACTCTAGTGGAGAATTTAATTGTTTAAAAAACTCACAGAAACATATACATTTCTCATTTAATAACAAATTTGTATATCCGCGATACCATAGTGTTGGACACTAGTATATTGGGACCTTAGGGAATGGAGAGGGATAAAAGGGCAGTGGGTTGGGTGGGCCATATCTGGGAGCGTTAACTTGGCTGTGTGTCCTTATCAGAGTGTTTAGAAACCAAAATACCATCTTACCTTACCCGGGCTGCTGAGACTGTGTGGGTAAGAGGTGGGGTGCGTTTAGGGACCAGTGGGGTTTCTGAAGAGGAGCCATACTCAGTTGAGAGTAAATTAAGCCTGTGTACTTTTGTCTGTTCCCATTTCCCTGTTTGCAACTCCTTTATTGTTGAGACAGTTTTTTGTTTGTTGGTCTGTTTATTTGTTTTAATTGGGGTTTTGGTACGGGGATCAAACTCAGATCCTTGGCGCTTGTGAGGCAGGCAGGGGCCACTGAGCTAAACACCATTAGACTGAATGCTCTGGCAGAGCGGGGGCTTCTGTGTATGTTGCCAGGATCAGTTAGAATTGGCTCAGGGTGGAAGGTGGCCGCATAAACAGACTTCCCTGGGCGCTCACTGCTATGTGGAGTTGGAGATGGCTCAGAATCTCATGTTCAGGAAATGAAGGTCTGGTGTCCTTGTGTGCGTGTGTCGTCATTGGGGTTCATCTTAGCAATATTTCTCCTTTGTCACTTTGGCAGTGTTGAGGATGAATTTGATCTCAAAAAGTGATAAAAATGGGGGCAGGGGATTTAGCTCAGCGGTTCGGTGGCCTGCCTTGCAAGCGCAAGGACCCGAGTTCAATCCCCGGTACCAAAAAAAAAAAAAAAAAAAAAAGTGATAAAAATGGACAGATTGGTCACTCAACTCTGCAGGCATTACATGTGGCCTTGAGAATATTTTCTGTGGTAGGCTGTGGAACTGTTCAGCTTATTAAAAAAAAACAGCCTTTTCTCTCAAAGGACTATGACTAGGTTGATTTTTCCTAGTGTGTTTTGAGTAGGGGCTGCTTTATCTTTACCGAGTAGATTGCCCTTGGTCCAAATGTGGCTTCTTTTCCTTACTAATTGCGTAGCTGTGGCCAAGTTCTCAGCCTCTCAGACCCCCCGTAGGAGGAGGAATGGCATTAAGAAAGTGTTGTTTGAAGATTACTGCTAATGCCCTCTTGGTTCCTAGTAGTAAGGCCACAGAGGGTGGGAACCCTTTCACCTGCAGTGCTTATCATTACACCTCTCAGGAAAGCACACAGGCGTTTTCTAATAAAGAGGAAAAGACTGACTCCCTGCAATTTGTTCTCTTGCTGGTTTTACTAAGAAAGGATGACAAATGGCTGGGTGTTTGTTGTTAGCATGGCACACCTAACTGCAAGAAATGACTTGCTCAACAGAGAGATCTACTTTTTCTGATTTGTTTTTCACCGTTAGTAACAGCGTATAGTTTCTGAGCAATAGGCTCCATTTTTTCAAACATTTCGGAAGCTTCCCAATGAGATTATCTTGCATGCAAGCAAGCATATTTAGAACTGATTAACAGTTTCAGGGCAGTATTTTTCATTCGTGCATAAACCATAGTTTTCAGTTATTTCAGCATCAGTATACATATTATAGATCTGGATAGAGGTCCTGGATGATTTCACGTGTCACACCCCATTTGCTTTTGGAGGGGATTTTTAGGGGGTAATATAATGAGATTTAGGGCATTCTCTTTTGGTTTATTGGAAAATATGCTTTTTATCTATCATCCTTTAGGAAGTCTTGAAAACTCACAAATTTTGAATAAATAGATTCAAAACTATTGCATCTCTTTATAGCTATGCTGACTTATAGATAAGCTGTAATATATTTAAAAATTTTTGATAGGGAAACAAAAAGAATCCTGGACATTTTAATTCCTCCTGTTACTGGCCAGGGGTGAGGGATATCATCTGAAGAAGTGCAGTAAGTGGAGGTTGTTACTATCTTTGACAGTTACGTTTTATGACTACAGGTCTTTCGTAGTCAATGAGGAAAATATGTTTACAATTGATCAAAATCTCAAGGTATATTTATTCACAGTTTAATTTCTCTGCTATTTTTTCCATAAGCCTGTAGTCCTGCCACAACAAGTGAAAAATGTAATGAATGTATGCACAAGAGACTTTCTGATTCTTGCCTTGGGCAGAATTAGTTAATGATATTCATTCAGATGTACATTGGTACAAATGGGGCATATTAAGAGATTTAAATTAGGTCAAATTGAATAATTGAATTTTTTTCTTTACTTAAAAACAGCTTAATCAGCGGAGAGTACTGAAATCTTAAAAAAAGATTTAAATATTAATAGGGAATTTATATTTGCAACTTTATCTACATTTACAACGATTGTGTGCATTTCTTTCCTCTCATTACTTTTTATAGATACTCGGAGATGAAGTTCAGCCCTTTTCACTGGATGAAGACTTTGATTATGACAGTGTGACTCTGACTCCCAAGTTCACTTCCGCAGAGATGGAGACCCTCAGGGAGCGACTGAAGCAAGAGAGAAAGAACACCAACCCTTACGTACGGGAACCCCACAGCTGATACACAGGGCATCTGTGTATTTATTTTTATTTTGTTCCTATTCAAACAACATTAGAATAAAATATAAACCAACTATATTTCCCTCTGTGGAAATTTATGTGAGTGCATTCAGCGATCAGTTACCTATCATTGGGAAAATGGGGACATTAACAGAACCAAAGCGATTACTTCCCTTCCTGAATTTTCTCTGCCATATCATTGTATCCTGTGACCGGTTGGGCGGCTAGGAATGGGAAATGGGAACAGGAGTGGGCACCTACTAAAGGGTCCCTTTGATGAAAGAGCTGCATAAGGTCCTGTGGGGTATTGGGATGAAGATGTGAAACATGATCTCATCTTCTTGGAGGTGAAGGACGATTACACATGTAAAAGAACACAGAGTGAAATTGCTTATATGAGTAGGTCACTGGCCCTGGCTTTTTGTAGGAATAGCAGAATCCGTGTGAGTGTTGAGAGATTATGTTCTGGGATGAACTGAAAGGGCTTTGGTGAAAAAGAAGACATCTGAGATTTGATTATGTGTCATTCACAGAATCCTTGCAGTTTATTATTACCATTAAACTACATGTGATGATAAAGTCTCTGTGCTCTGTCTCTGGAAGATCAAAATACAGTTTGAAAGGGCAAGATGACTAGAGAAGTAAAACCTATTAGGACACGCTATTTATGTAGAATACCCACAAGTGCTTGAAGGGGACAGGAAAGATGGGTAAAGGCCCAGAACAGGGCCCTGATGCAATTTTTATTGTTGAACATATCCGTAGCAAATCAAATGTATTTAGTCATAATTAGTTTAATTTTATTTTCACCTTTTAGTAGACTTTAATTTTAAATCAGTTTTAGGTTCACAGCAAAATTGAAGAAGAAAGTGGAATGTCCGCATACACCCCCTGCCCCTACTCTCACTCCCCAACTACCTGTACTCTGCACCAGAAACTATATTTGTTTTGTATTACTTGTCCTTTTCTTCCCCTGGAGTAAGGCCGCTTCACATGAGATCTACCATCTTAAATTTTTGAGTATGTAGTACAGTGTTAGGAACGATATGCATAGTATTATACAGCAGCTCTCTAGATTTTATTTAGGTGTAACTTAAACTTCACGTGCACTGAACAGTAACTCCTCATTTTCCCCTCCGCCCCGGCCCCCAGCAACAACCATATTACTCTGTGCTTTTAGGAGTGTGATTATAATGGATGCTCCGTATCTGTGAACAGGTAATATTTGTTTTTCTGTTATTGGCTTATTTCACTTAGTGTAATGTCCTCCAGTTCATCCATGTTGAGTACGGCAGGATTTCCTTCTTTTGAGAGGCGAACAGTATTGCATTGTATGTGTATTCTCCCTTCACTTATCGGTCACGGGACATCGAAGTTGTCTCCATATCTCGCCATTGTGACTAATGCTGCAGGTGTTACATGCATGCTGTGTGTGTATGATGAATCGTGTATAAGCATGTGTATGTATTCAGAAAAATTCCATTTATATTCTTTACAGAAGAATGCTCTCAATTTCATATCAGGGCAGAGTCAAATGACTTGCACATGTATTTTTATTTATTCAACAGAGTTTCATAAAACACCATTTATGTCATAGGTCTCATTTATATTAGGCGATAGAAAAGATACAAGTAAATTAAATGTGGTCTGATTTAGTGGGGAAGAGAGATGAATACACTGATAATTATAGTCAAGCTGCACTGTCTGATATAATAGCTACTAGCTGTGTCCTAGTGCACTAGAGCACTTGAAATATGGTTGGGATGCCTGAGCAACTATCTCGTGTTTTTTAATGTTTATTTCAATTTAAAGTTAAAAATTTGTACTTAATTCTGCTATTGGAAAACTTTCACTTACATTTAGAACAACCTAGGTATGTGAATCTACTTTTTCAAGTGTAAATTTTATGAAATCTGAATACAATTTTTTATGGCAGCTTAGTGTCTAAATTTATAATATGCCAGAAATGTAAAATATCCATTCAAAGAATCAATGTGAAAACTTATATCATTCATTTTTGTATTGATTATATGTGGAAATGATATTATTTTCAATTTCCCTGATTCAATGAAATCTGTTGTTATAATTCACTAATTTCTTTTTATCTTTTAATCCTTGAAAATTTAAACTTACATACGATGTACATGTTTTTATTTGACAACGTTTTTATTTGTAAGTAAGAGTGCTATGTTGCAGGAACTACTGGAGGAAAAGCAAGTTGCAGGTATTTAATTACACATCAGGGAGCTAGGGAATCTTCACAGAAGAGGTGATTTGGAGGAGACTTTGAGGCAGTGAAGGGGTTGGACCCTAACATCTGAGGAAATAGCATGCAGAAAGTATAATTCTTTAGGATAGACTATGGCTTGGTTGAAGAAAACCCACTTTTCTATGGCTAGTGTCCAGGGGAAAGCTGGGGATGTGTGTGAGGGCTGTATACTGAAGGCTGTATGTGCTGTAAACTCTTGTTTCCTAGGTGATAGGGAGTTACAAGGTTTTTAAGCAGAGGAATAATAAGATCCACATCGTATTTGAGGAAGAGAGCTCCAGGGTAAATGTGAAAGGTAAAAGGAGTGGAGGGCACCCTGAATCAGGGATGCAGGCCTAGAGGCTGAGTAAGTATTTGTGTGGGAGATGGAAGACTTAATGAAGGCAGTGTGGGTGGAAGTGGAGGGCAGGGCTGTGATCAGAAGTGGGAGCAGAACCAGGAAGACTGCAGTGTGGGAAGGAGAGAAGGATTGTGAGGTTAAGGCAAATGTTGGTGTGTAATCTGGGTACATGCGGAATTGAGCTGAACTTGTAATCGTTCACAGGGTCAGAGACTCTTGACTGCCTGTGTAGCACTTTGATATTTTAAATAAACAGAAAATTTTACCACTTTAAGTCATCCTCATTTTATGAACTTAGTTTTTATAATAGGAGAGATAAAACTGTCTTTTTAAGTGTCTTTTGTTGGAGTGGGTACTGGGGATCGAACTTGGGTTCTTGTGCTTGCAAGGCAGGCCACAAAATCGCTGAGCTAAATCCCCAGCCCCTTTTTAAGTGTTTAACACAACAATTTCAGTGGATTATTTCACTATTTTATTACACAGAGAGACAGCAGGTGAATGTCACTGTGGAATGTTCTACCTGTATGGTTGGTATATTATATTTTGGCTTCATTCCTCCCTCTTGGCACTTTTGATCTCTGCATTATTTGGGGCAGTTGTGCATTACAGCAAAAGTGACACGGGAAAACGAGTCCCTTAAAGCCTTTGAATAGAATTGTTTTGTCTCCATTGCACCATTCCTCTCATCTTAACTAGAAAATACTTCTCTGCAATTGCCTTTCAATTTTAGAGATTCCTCAAATTGATGGAAATGGTCTGCTGTACACTGGCTGGTGGACCCTAATCACGTAAGCTCGTATATCCTTGGGTGTATTGTGCTTACTTGGATGAAGAAATAAGATTAGTAAGCGCAGAAGACAAGGAAAAGTGTCTGGTTTGTATATCAAAGTAGGAAGGGACATATTTAAAAATTAAAATATTTTGTAATAATGTGGCCATTACATCATAAACTAACTCAAAATGGAGAAGATTTCACTTTAAGTCTGAAGCCCCCGACCTAGCTTGTCCAGTGTGTTGGAACATGGGGTGACCCTAGCATTTCATCTCGGGGGTGGCAGAGCGCAGAAGGAGAACAGTTACCCAGCGTGACACTAAAACGTTTGATTTCATTGCTAGGATTTTTCTTTCTTTTCCCATAAAAGCGATCCAACCATGTCCTCACTGAGAAAGAGAACTTTCTCCTATGTGCTAGCTGGCTTTATGATCTAATTAAAATATGAAAAGACAGTTAAAGGAAAACATTCATTTTCCCATTTCTTAGAAGGTGAGGGCGAGTGAATATAGCTTCGGAAAGGATTTGGAAGTAATTTTACTTTTCTGGAAAAGTATTTATGCATATGTTCCTCACATGGCTTGGGTTTGTTTACATAATATGGTGCCTGCTTATGTCCTCTGTCTCATGTTGTACCATCTTCATTGCTCTGTGTTTCTGTCTCCCTGTCTCTGTCTCTGTTTCTCCCTGCTCTCCTCTCTTGGTGTCTTTGTCACCTCTTTGTCTGTCTCCCTCCCTCTGTCTGCCCCCCATCTCTCTCTCTCTCCCTGTTCCCCCCACCCCTGTGTCTCTGTCACCTCTCTGTCTGTCAACTCCAAATAGCCCACCTGTTTCTACCTTAGGATCACTGCTCTTTTGCCTTCTTCTCAGACTTCTCTGGGTATCACGTGGCTGAATCCTGTTCATTAGCTAAGCCTCAGGTAAATGTGTCTTCCCATAGTCTCTGATAGCCCTCTTTAAAGTAATCCCTTCCCCATTAACCTCTATCCCTCTCACTTTGCATCCCCTTACCCTACCTTGTTTCCTTTATTACTTGACTCACATTAGAATGTAAACTAAGGGAAGGTGTGGATTCAGTCTGTCTTTTTGTTGTTGCCTCCCAAATCCCCAAAAAAGGACCCAGAGTGAAATAGATTTTCAATGAATATTTACTGACTGAATCCAACCTGGAAGTATGTATAAGCTCATTAGCTTGAGGTCTACTTCATCAGTTCATTTTGGCTAGGCATCTATTAAGGGTATCTAACTTCTTACTTTCTAGACTATTCTGATGTTCAGTGCGAATTTGGAAGGCCTTTACTGGGTGGATAAATCTGCCCTGTGTACTCAAGGTAATCTTTCTTTCTCTTGCTTTGACCCCACGGGAGTGGAAGGAATGTTTGGTCTTGTGGGAACTTTATCCACTTGTCAGTTTTTTCTTTTGAAACCTTGTTACAACTTCTTACATTAAAAATTCCACTCTGGCAGTTCATGTGACACAATGCTGATATTACCAGCATTCCTCATTGAAAGTGGATTGATGCCTAAAGGAAAATTACAAAGGGAAAAGAAAAGAAGACATAAAGAATGAGGCAGATAGAGCAAAACAATTCCGTTTTGGTAGCTATCCATAAATAGGATCCTCTGTGCAGTCATCCAAATGGTAAAAGTCATCTAACTTGAATGGTGGACTTAAAACCTAATTCTTTTATTTTCTTTATACTTTATTTATTTTGAGAGCAGTTTGAGCCAGAGGTTTCTGAACATAAGAAAGTTTTTGGAAAATGATTAGACTTTCATTTGAGGAGAGATGGGTGGAGAGGGAGCGGCTTTGTTTTATACTGGGTAAAGATGAAGTGGAGGGGTTTAGAGTTGGATTTTGAAGGGCTTTTTTTGTTTTTCTCTCGGAAGTTTATGTACTCTCATAATCTCCAGGATTCTGAAAATTTATAATAATAATGTGTTTCTATTTCATCCTTTGTGCTGAGTACCAGTAGCTTTTTATTTGGGAAACATATGTTTCAGTTGCGGAAATTTTCTTAATTTTTTTTTGTTTTGTTTTCCTTGCTTTACTTTTTCCTGTCCCTCCTCTTTCTCCTCCCCATCCTTCTCCTCTTCCTCCTCCTCCTCCTTCTTCCTCCTCTTTTTTTTTTTCTTCTTTCCCTTCCCCTTCTCCTATTTGGGTGTATTATCCTCTCCTTTCTTTCCACAATTTCCTCTCATGGAACTTTTTTTAGATTGCTGAGGTTTGTGTACTCACTTCCCTGCTGTTTTTAATGTTTGTTCTGAGAGATTATCTCAGTTTTATCTTCCACATTGTTAGTGAAGTGTGTATTATTCTAATTTTTTAGTTTTATATTATTTTAAAATTCACAGTATTTTTTTTTTTAAAGAAAAAGGCTAGTACCAAGAAAACACCCTTCTCTGCTAGAGTTGCACTGGGACTAGACCGTTACAAGTGTGAAGCCTTCCTTTCCTCCTCCTCCTCCTCCTCCTTCTCCTCCCTCCTCCCCTTCCCTCCTCCTCCTTTCTCCTCTAATTCCTATTTCCCCACTTCATTCTCATTGATATTATTAATCTTAGCTCGTGTTTGCTTCATATAATGTGTACATGCAGGGAGGTTGTTAGTTTCGCGTCCTTTTCATGATTTTAAGCAGCATGCGCCTTGATGGTCAGCACTGTTCGCAAAGCCAAGTGAAGCGCAGTAGGAAAGGCGGCGAGATGAGAAGAGGGTGTTGGCTGTCCCTAGGACATCGGACGAAGCCTCGGGTTTGACCGAGCTGTAGCCAGGCACATTGTAGCGTGCTTGACCCTGAGAGAGGGACAGGCGCATCCCTCAAAAGCCGCTCCTCTTTCTCTTCCTGACATTCCTCTTTCTGTTTGTGCACCGCGTTGGTTGCCAGAGTCTGTTCATTTTCCCTCTATGTTAAACTTTTTTTCTTTTATTGAGTTTATCGGTACATTTTAGGGATACAGTACAGTTACATTCATTACTGGGATCTTGTACTTTCACATGCCAGGTCTTGGTTCTTATTTTTTCCCCTTGTCCCTGCCCTCCCTTCACCCCCTCCTCCCCTCCCCATTTACAAACACTTAATTTCCATTTTTTCATGTTCTCATATTTTTTCTTTTCCCTTATTCCCTTTCCCCTACCCTTCCCACTTTCCCTACCCCTTTAGCCCCTTTCTTCCCATTTCGCAATGTCAGTTATCTCAGAAGAAATTTTTTTTTCTTTTTTTTTTATTTTTTGAGACAGGGTCTCACTGTGTAGTTGACACTGACTTGGAACTCACTACGTAGCCCAGGCTGGTCTCGAACTCACAGCAATCTCCTGCCTCAGGATTCCAAGTGCTGGGATTACAGGCGTGCGCCACCATGCCTGGCATTATATTAAACTTCTGATTCCAACCTGTCCTTGGCATATCCGCTGTCATTATACAGATCTTTCTCTGTAGCTGTTTCCTTGGAGCTTCTTATTTTCAAACTAGGCTCTAACTGCTTCTGTTATCTTAATTCTAAATTAGAATCATAAATTCTAATTTTATGCATTGCTTTTATATTCATTTTTGCTTTGCTATCTTGTTTCAAAATTACTACCAGTGGCTCATTGTCCAC